GTACTATAACACTCCCTATAGCGAAAGCTTTAATATGAGGCGGCATTCAGCTACGCGCAGTGTGTTTTAATAGCATTTTTTGCTGTTTGTTACTTAACGATGCCTCCACGAACCATCATTGTCCAATATTTGATCGTGGGGCTGTGCAAATATGGACGCATATGGCCATGTCCACTGCTATGCCTTTTCTCGTCATGTGTTGTTCCATGCAGGCCATATATCTCGATCTATTTACAGTGTTCTCTCGTATAGTTCTGTATGAATCTATTACTATATACTCCTGATGAGTTCCTTTGTTGGTCACTGCTGTACAAATGTGTGTTGTGACAAGCTTTCCTATGTCTCAGAAATCGCGAGCAATCGATTTTCCGGTTATGTCCTAGAAAATTTGTTTGATTAGTTCTTCGCAGAATTTCCAAGAAAGGAGGTCGTCGAGGGTATGTTTTTTCTCGAAAACACTATTCTCTTGAGAGGTTTGTTCGCTCCTGATCTCAACCAACCAATGTGACCTGAATGGTGTGCTCCAATCACTGCAACTCCGAATGATTTCTTAGCCAAAGCGAAAAATGGCAGCCAGCAATGGCCTCAAATTTTCGTTTGAAATTTTGGGAAGTGATTATGTTCAGTCGTGTATTCTCGAATCAACAAATGGACGGGATCCATTGAAAGTTCGAGTACGAAATTGGGCGGTTATTCTTTTTACTTGACTTGTAACTGTGACTCTAATGATCAACATCTCGATTGAAAATGCGCATCGGCTCACTTTACAGAAGTTTCTGGTAGTGCATATTATTCATTGGCGGAGGTTGTGTAGGGGCGGGTGGTAGAAGTTATTGTGAGGATGGTACGCAATCCAAACCTTCGTTTGAACTCCCTTAGGCCAAGCAGGCTCCCAGACCAGTTTTTACTGGATTCAGCTATAACGCGAACACTGATCTATACTTTGCCTGGACCAGCCCCTTTTTGCATTCACCAAGTACGGTCCAAGAGCGGCAACAATTCCGAATGCGAGTAGTATACATGACGTCTCCCCATAAGCTTTTTGCTATATGTGGCAATTACTAGCATAGTAGCTTGTTAACATCAACTTTCGAATTGTACTGTAGTTGGTGGCATTCTGGATTGCTAGCGATTCTCTTCAGAAAATTCTTAGCATGTTAAACATCCAAATGAAGCACTTTCTCAGATAGATATAATAGAATACAGCGAACCCTAGAACAGCACAGTGCCGCTCCAACCCCTTAATGTAAGCCAACAGAAAACTGGTGCTATATAGCAACGTTGGGGTTCATAAAACGGGCGATAAATGTTGCATTGGCAAACCTTACCGTTTTCGCTTCGTAATAGCCCCTTACGTGTTGTCAGTGAATTCCGAACTGACATGAAATCCAAGAACAAAGCAAAGGGATTGGCTGATTGAGTACTATACTCGCTAGAGGAGATTCCAGCAGAGCAAAGCATAAGGCAGTGTGCGATTCACCTGAGAGTTCCTCCGCGACTGAGAAAAAGGGGGTCCCCAAGCGACACTAGCGACCTAAAAGTTCGAGGAAACGGCGTTAGGGCCTACCGTGTGCTGCCGTGCTAGCATCCTTATCAATCGTGCTGCTGGCGCTCTATCGCGCGACGTACTCTTGTGTTCTCCCTCTTCTCGCAGCGCTGCATCTCTCAGTCATACTACATACGACCTAACAAGGGAAATCCCAGCGTTCTCCAAGGCGCACTGTGCTTTTTCCCCACTAACGTTCCTCATCACACTTCTTGTCTAAGTTTCGGACAAAATAACACACCAATTCGATCCCGACTCGTGCCTTTATCGTGACGCAGCGGGGCTCCAACTTTCACGCGATTGTTCAATTTTTGAGGCGGAATCGTTATGACGGTCGCAGACTGCCTCAGACCACATGAAGGCTATCGGAGCGGTTCCTGATTATCTCCTGCAGCTTGGTATTCAAGCTCTTCGCTATGCTTGCGGGAAAATGATGTCTGTTCCACGGAAAATTTAGACGACAGCCTTATTTTTTTTCGATATTAATTATAAATTAAAAGATGTAAGTCATAGCTTTCAACAGGGGAAGTGCTGTCAGCTAAACGGTTTGTATACTGGCTGGAAAGTTTCGACTACTCAAGATGAAACCTATAAAGCGGAGGAAGAGCGAAAGGTTTGAGTGCACATCGCCATTTGAAACCGCTAACGACGACCTCAATTGGATTTTGTTGCGCAACGGAAAACCCTTGAAGGAAATGGCGACCATTGGAGCTAAGGTCACCGAAAAATACCTTTTAAGCATTGATATGCAGTAGAAGAATCGGAGTGAATGACAGCTCCACACGACTGTAAAGAGAACGGGGTAGAACACATTCATAATAGACTGCCCTGCAGCTTATTTAGTAAGGTTTCTCCCTCATTTAGCGAATACGACAAGCTAGCTCAACATTTTACTTGAAGTGCCCTTTTGCAGCACTCAGCTTTTGTCGGTTTGGCTATCAAAAAGCAGTGGAATTAGTGAAATGCTACCCCACCTCATTAATTCAGTCTCTCATAGAACTTGCCTCTGGGGCAATGCAACTAAAGACCGTGAAAAACATTTTATTGTAAGGTGAATGCACAGGCAGATGCCTGCTTCGTGAAGTGCCTCCAATGCTCTGTTTGTATGTGATTGCCAAGTAATTCGGGATCAACAAGCTTGCACAAGTTTTGGGATGCTCTTCTGATCCCATAATCGGCAGAGTTTTTTTTTTTTCGCGATCCCGAATTCGTAATGCAGGCTCTGCTAATGTCTGCGCCTCTCTTGTCCAGTCGCGCGCTTTCTTGAAGGAAAACTCGTACAATGTCGTCACTCGTACAATCAAATCAATCTTAAAAATAAACTTTTTCTCCCCTATTTTCCGCGCTTGCTTTCTCTTCTCCTGCATGGTCGGATCAGACCCGCTGCAATTTAATTTGCGGTTTCCAATGGCCTAAGCCAGTCACCATACATTTATTTGTTCATTTCTTTATTTGTGTTTAAAAATTATGTCACAAAATGGAATTAAACTAGCAAAAATAGAGGGAAAGCGCACTAGCGAAAATAAAAGAGATTCCAAACAAGAACTGCATTAATATTAGCAACAAAGCAATCGACCTGAGGTTGAATTCACCAAACTATTTGTAAGCAACCAGGAATATTCGAAAGGAGACGGATGAGCTTGCAGGCCAAGTGGTTCGCAATACTTTCGCGATTAGTGAAACGTAGAAGAGATTATAGCATTTAAGTTTGTACGAAGGGTCCCTAGACTCAACATAATGGAGTGGTTCAAGGTAAAATGATCGGATTTGCCCTCAAGAAATTTATATTCGCAGAACCTCGGCCTGTTGTGACTAAATAAAAGGCGAAAAGTATAGTATAGCAAATTGTTCAGTAGATAACGGCGGAGAATAGCGCGAGGGTCATCTGCCCTCGTCTGGTGGTTCCTATAAAACATTTGCCATCGTTTCATTCCAATTAATAGTTCAAGGTAACCTTCACTCCGCCTTGCTAGCAGAAGCACTTTTGTTATTTTGTACACATTTTTAAAATGCATATTTCACGTTTTATTGGTAAATTTGCATGCATTTTTTTCAGTTATACGCAATATCTATCCAAATTTGTTCGTGAATTATGTGACATCTTGTTTAGGAAAAGGTCATTTAGGGTAATGAACTTTCCAAATTACCTGACTTGGCTAACTTTAAGTTCATGCCACTAGTACAATTACAAGAACTTCGGCATCCATCGCTTTGATGCATCGCCCAAACAGGTATCGGAGGTACTTTTTCTAGCAACCATGTCTAACTAGAAACCGACCTCAAATCTCGTCTCGTCATCCACTTCTCCTCCCTCCATTCACATGTTCTCTTCAATGACATGTGATGACCAGTATTTTAGCATTTCAGCGCTCTCACAGCTCAGCAACTACACCAGTTAGTGCCGGCTTTCTTCGTAGATGCGATAAAATTCCACAGTGATAACAGTCACTGCTGATGCTTCCAATGACGTCACGTCTCTTCCACGAAGTTCTCTGTTAAGCTGCAAAATAAGATGTTAGTATAAGAACTCGTCTTCGGATGGTCAGCCATCTACCAAGAAGGTCCATCTCGCGGACTTTTCTAATGCCAGTATTAGAGAAGGCGCGCAGTGCTGGATTTGTTCGTCAAGCCGGATAATCACTCTTGTCGGTGGACCAAATTGTAGGTCATACTAGACCCATCCCGTTTCCTTCTCGTCGCCATATTCTTTACGCGTTTCTTCTACTTCGCGCAGCTACGAAAGTCACGTTTTCCCGCACCTCTAGGGGCTTTCGGCTTATGATTGACTTTTCGAGAGGGTTACGTCTGCTGGTGTGTCAGTTTCAAACTGTTCATATGAGTCACTGATAATTTCATGCGTTGCTATCTCCTTTTTTTCTTGCTAACAGGTATTTGCCCAGCTGTTTGCGTTGCGCTGTTAGAGAATGATGATCAGCCAAATTTCACCCGAGTCCTTTTCAACGCATCCATCTAGAAGTTGTCATTATCACCAACCCAATTCGCATTGATTTTAAGTTTTGAAAAATGAATTTCCTGTACCACCACGTGTCTTTTATCACCAAACGCAAAGGTGGTGCCACTTTCACGAATCAAAACGCTTTGAAAAAGTGCTAGGGTTCAGGAATGGCAACCGTGCACACCTCACTCATTTACGTATGTCCACCGTAGCTACTACCATTGGGTCTGGACCTCAGTTGTACTCTATGCTCTCGTCTACAAGTCCGCATTTCTGCTCTCATGTCGAGAAACAGTGTCTCATTTACTGCCCAAAAAACTCTCCAGTACTAGTTGGATTTACTTTGGGAAGCTCTTCTCATTCCGAATTCTGTTTCCTTCGTCACCTACCGTTCCTTTTCGAGTTTGAGCCTTAACCAACTCACTTAGTTCTTATTATGGAGATTAAATGCATTCGCTGTACTACTTTTGTAATCGCACATATTTGCGTTCGTTCGTTATGAACCAAAAAACTGTTTACCTTTCATTTCTTCCAGGCGGAATGGAGATTCGTGATAATTTGTGCGATCTAGGACGTATGGAAATTCCTCGCCCTCAATTCCATGGAATGCAGTTCATTGCAACTCGGGGAAAATTAGGGTTTTATAAGGTATTCACATTGGGATGCATAGCTAGCAAATTGGTATTTGATTCGAGATTTTATAGACAATACGAGAAAATGGCAGCAAATACGGGGTGCAAGTTCGGGCTCAAGGTCCACGACGACCGGTGCTCAGCAACGACATATTTCTTAAGTGAGTCTCTTCAAATCTGTTGTGGCCAGTTCATTTTCTCTTTGAACATTTTTAAGAATCCTAAAAGCACAACAATTTGTTCCATTTTGCCGATGTTTTTTCATTACTTAGAAATCGTAGCGCGAATGATGAAGTGAGGAGTTTACGATGAAGGCAACCCATCAAAAGTCAAAGTAGAGGTAACTCGTGGTGCAGGGATGAAGAAAAGACCACGGCTAACAGCACAGAACTCAAGGAGGATCTTTGCCTTCCATTTTTTCATTGGTGCGACTCTCTGTGGTGTCACCTTTATGGATCTCCTTTGAAACGGAAAGGGTCAGACTTAGAGGGGGTGTGCGGGCAGCGGCACGAGCGGCGCGGGTATAGCCCTGCTAGTCTGCTGGGCATACCCTTCGCTGCAAATCGAGCATTGTTCCGCACTCTCAGGAGGTCAGCGTGGTTTTCAACTAGATGTGCTACACTTCCTCGACCTGCCAACTTCTCGTGAAATTCTTCATAGTTTTCCACAAAAAAAGATACAATAAAAAATCTCCATTTCCTCACCGCTACCAGAGTGTACGATCCTCTGAGTACATGATAACTAACGCTGTAGTGATGTCGTGGATAATGCCAACGCACAAATTCGAGCTAACTTATTTTGCTAGATTTCCAAGCTGTTGAAAGTACTCATATATCTTTTGTGGCCCGTCCCATGAAAAGCAGTTGGTTCTCTTGTTTGAAATCCGCTCATTCCACGACGACGTCAGAGAGTAAACTTCGTAGCACATCTGCAAGCAAGACCAGTCTCAATTTCTTTAGCCTTCTTTCGCTCACCCAAAAGAAAATGATAATACAGAAGCACTTGTCTCGAAACTGAAGCTCTTACTTCGAATAAACCAAAAGACGCTATGAAACTACGTAGTCTGGTTTCGACTGGATATTTCTGGATTTCGTATATCTTATAGTTTGGTTCGTTTTCGATAATGTTAGTGCACAGCAGTGTGTCTACGTCACAACACGCCAATTCTGCAAGTTTTCTTTGAGTCATATGCGGTCGGCTTTCAATCAAGTCCACTCTTTCTCGCTTGTGGCACGCATTCATCACAGAATTAGCACAGCTGCATGCTATGTATTCTGGTCCACGCTGTTTCGAGCTTGCTCTTCTTGCAAGTTGCCTTCGTCTTGTAACATCTTCTTGAGCACTCTTTGTAGGGTCAAGACGACTCGTTTAAAGATTCATGTTTTGGCAGATCTGCTCACTATTTTTCATGAAAGTGTCAATAATGATGAATTTACGAATTGTCTCGCTTTACAATATATGTCAGCACTGTTTAACAGTACGACTAACAATTGTTTTCCTAACATTTTCATTTTGGCTTTGCGGAGACTCATTCACGATGATGACTAGGCTTGTCTGGCGACTGACGCTGGAACAAAAATATGGAATCCCTATTGACCTTGGACATGGTTTTCGGCTTTGTTTGCCTTGCATTTTTTTCCCAGCTCAATCCGTTGAAGGAGCAGACCGTAGATTTGTTCAGTACTCGTATTTGAATCTCAACTTTCAAGCAGGGCAAAGATTTAGGACCAGAAGACCAGATAAGTGGGGTTTTTCCGAACGAGGAAGTCGTTAAAACGATCTGCTGTCAGAGGAGTGCACGCCGGCGAGAAACTGAGCTAGCACGAGCATGAAATTCCTTTCGATGGATGCAGTCTCCACACTCCCAAAGAGTTTTGCATCCATTATGAGTCTATTCATAAACGTAACGGCTATCACTATCACTGTAATGAAAGGGCGAAGGTTGTGAAGTAATATCGCTAACCACCCGCACTGTCCGAGGGTCAAATCTCTGATCGGAACTCGCCCAAACAAAAAGCGTGACACATTTGATTAGGATGAATGATTGCTATGAGAGTCTTTTGAGAACAAAATCACTCTCTGTGTATTGGCAAACCCTCTGAAATTGAGAGACTTCAAAGCATTCAAATGCCTCTTCGAATCTGAATTGGAGTACAAAGCGTGGTGCATCCTGATCTCGAAAGTTACCATCGACCGCATCATAACCACAAACTACGTGATACTCTTCAGATTTCAGTGCCTTCCATTCGGAAGAGACTACAGGCTTTCCAATCGCACTCCAGACGAAAATGGGTTTGAACAGACTTTGTAGGAAGGGAAGTTCTAGTTCGTTTTTTGGTCAAGGCAACGCCAAATAAGACGAAGCACTGTCTTGCACAGCCTACTTTGCTCAAGTGGCTCTTCAGTACCCCTATCAAGATGTAGATAACCGCGAGCCGATATAGCGAGCGACGCCGTCTTCAAAATGAAGCTGATCGTCCATTGTTTTTGAAGGCAAACTCCGGGATTAAACTGGTGCTATCAGCGCTTCGTAGTGATAGCTTAGCTGCGGAACGACCTGAAAGTGGAAAGGAAAGCAAGAGAATCTTTGGGAACGCTGAAATTAAGGCCTTAACCTTCAAAAGGTCGGATGTGGTACGATGGCGAGAAAGGGCGGTCAAAGAAGACAAAATACGCGAGAGAGCACGTCGTTTGAGAGAGCACGCTGATCTCACCACCTCTCGCGGTGGGTGGGAAGCGTTGGAACGGGGGTCGATGGTTGCAGGCCCGTAAGGATTAGCGCCCTAACCGCGCAATTTTTGCGACGAAGCTGGAGTGATCTAGGTAGGTACGGACCTTACAATTTCCCTCGTGGTATCCCTTCCTACTAGTCGGGCTAATCCCGGGTTTGCCTTCAACGAAGATGATGATTGGGACTAGGAATAAAAGGTTTTTATTTGTTGCTCGGCCTAGACAATGTGCGGGGATGGAGCAGGGGTTCTCAGCACAGATCCAGAACGCTCTATTGGGCTAACTTCGCGACGTTTGAGTACACAATCCCGTGAATATGAGAAAAAAATGTTGCTTGATGGACCACTCTAACGAATGCATCGGATAATTTCTGTACCTTTTCAAAATTTCCAGCAGCACAATGACACCAATGTCAAGGAATTTTCGGTTAAGCTTCCTTTGAAATCTCTCCAGCCATAAAAATTCCGACACGTGATTAAGGTCCAAAGGGCGTCCTCAAGGGATAAACCTCGAGCTTTAAGAGCAAATACGTTCCCACTAGACGTACTGTAGACGTTGTTGTTCGCCACTGTGAACTCACGACCAGAATATTCGCAGTAGGCAATTACTTGTACAAAATGGCAACTAGTTTTTTTTTAAATTCGTTTCTATAGTAATTGATTGTAGCGCCTTTGTCTACTCGGTGCATGGAAGCTTATTCATACTTTTACCCAAAAAAACTAAAAATAAACAAGTCCGGCAGAAGGATGTTGCAGGATTTCCTCACTGATATCTCATGTCAAGAAAGACGTAACACAACATATTTACCAGTCTTACCCGTTAAGTTCAAAGAAATTGTACTATGTGGCAAGCGTTGAGATGTAAAAAATAATATAAATAGGACGAATTTATTTGACTTAACCGCACACGAGGTTGACAATGATTCCGTCGGCTAACGTTTCGGCGATTTCGCCTTCTTCGGAGCCTAAAAAGGTGGAAACCAATTCACGATTTATCCGACCAAATGTCTCCCTACCCTACGAGACCTTCGAGACCAGCTAAACCATCACATAATTAATAGGCAGATAAAGTACCGTACCTTCCCGATCAGCGGAATCAGCTCACAGGAACGACAGTATAGCGGATATCAGACTGATCAGAGTTCAGGGTTCCGGCTGGAAGGCTAACCTTATATAGGGGGTTAGTTCCCGCGTTATTGACACACATTCTCCTCTGCGGTTCATTTTTGGATTTTTGAAACGGATCCAAAATTCCTCCACAAATTTGTAGGTTATAGATAGGTCTTCCCGAATAGACGAATAAATATGAAAAGAAACAAATAACGCAGGGATAAGAGCACTACAAATTCTCCATTGCACTGTACTCTGCTCCAACAGTTTTCGATCGATTAATACCACTATCAAAAATTTAATGATAAGAAACCGGAGTGTGCGCTTGGCAATGACGTAGGCTTTATTTCTGGACTTTACCGAACAGAATATACGTAAACAAATGAAGTTATTATGTTTATAATAGAAACAAGTTGAATCAAACTAATCTATTTATTATTATCTTGATTACGATGTTTAAACCGAAATTTAACATTATTCTTCAAGTTGTTCATATTTATTTGAAGGGGTGGTGAGCAAAGAAGTCGTTTAGTCTCCGTTTCGCACGTGACCCTTAGACGGAGACTAAACAAGTGAAGTCTCCTCCCTCTGTGCTCATCAGTAAGGGAAGGGAGGACAAAGAGTTCAGTTGAAATTAATTTCTCCAATAAATAAGTTATCAAGTTTGAATTAAATATTTCCTGATTTTTTGTAAGTGATCAAATAGATTTTGAAGTATAGTACTTATATTACAAAACTGATAGAAGAATTAATGCACAATTTTGTCATCATTTTAAATCAATTTTAATATAAGAAACGTTTACTTACCCATTTTTTCATTGAAATAGGGTGTAAATAGTATAAAATATAACCCTCTTTCTGGAAACATGCGTAAAATTTAGACTGTTCAGACATTTAGTAAGTAGTTACACAAGTAACTAATAATAATAAAGTAATAATTCTTATTATTTCAGGCCATCCACGGTGAAAGAAGAAGCCGTAGAGGATTCCCCACTTCCAGAAAACAGAAATGCAAACCGCCCGCCAATTTCCCGCGCCAAACCCAGTGATCCTGATCGGGATAGAAATAGCCAGGTAGAACTTTTCCTATTTAAAGTTCCTTACGAGTAGGCTAAATACGGTGCTTGGAAAGATTTTTCACCTGGAATTCTCCCCGCATTAGCCGCCATTCAGAACCTTAGTGTCACTCGATTTTGGGTTGGTCCTTGCATTAACTTGTCGTCGATGCTCTCGCATTACCCCTTGATCCCTCACATTTCCATTTTGTATCTGAGCACCTCCTCGCCACCTTCAAAGCCGTGGTGATGTTTTTTTCAGATTTTTCTCTTTATTAGCGAAAGCGATAGAAATTCGGAAATCTGTTATCGAGATTTCGCCTTCGTCGGAAGGCTGCCATGACTTCCCTAGGTGCACGTGTTTCAGGAAACGTTTTCTCCTCTGAACACCGAAAGACCAATACGATAGGTACGGTCACTACAAGCACCATGGCCGGATTTCTCCTATGCCTAATCCGAGGAAAACGTTCTAGTTCGGGTCTTCGCATTGTATACTTCAACGACTGTCGTATTAGGCAGCAAATTGGTTAAATAAACTGCGTGCTTTCCAGTTACTGCATGAAAACCGGTGGCTGTTTTGAGCGTGACTAGGTGCATATGGGGCGCTATTTGTCGGCCCGTTGCATCGTAATATGTATTTGCCTCTCTTACCGGTTTTAAGCTTATTCCAGTGGCCTTTTGTAATTAGCCCATCGCAGAACTTACTCTGATAGCTTATTCGAGGGTTGGTCTTCCACTTTAGGGAAAGCGGTGACAAATGTAAAGGCATTTGAAACCCAAGGACGATTAATACCATCAATTTTGCTTGATAACGGTAATCCGCAAGGCTATTCCTAAAGGAGTAAACTCTCGTATCAAGCCTTCGACTACTCAATGTACTTGCTGATTGGGAAAACTTTCCCATAATAGCTTTAGAACACGTCACTTGGTCAGTTTTGTGAGGGTAGGGATCCTGATCACACAGTGAAACAAGGAAAAGAATTCCGAGAGATTCTGCCTTCTCAGCATCACTCCACTGATTATGAAAAACATGATATTTGCCAATGAAAGGATTTTGTAACGCAGGTGGGGTAGTGATAGAGGGCACCACTGACAAATGCATGTTCCTTTCGTCGTTCCTACGCTTATTGAGTTCCCTTTCAATACATGGTCTGATGACCACTGCCAGATTTGTGTGGAACGTAAAACCACCTACCCAACGAAATGTTTGAACGCAGTTCACTATAGACGCCGAATTTCGAATGTTCCATGATTGCGATTGCGAATTTACTGGAGCACTCTAGTTGATCCGGGTCATTGAACCTTTTCTTGTGCAAAAGATGACCAGTGGCTGACAAAGAAAGCACTTTATTAGAGCCACGCATATAGAATGCAGTGCACTGGACCAAACCGCATCTGAAACTTGAGAATTTCCTTAGATCTCCTTCACAACATGTGAAAATATCTCGGAGAAAATGGAACTGCGTGGTTTCCAACAGGGACGGTAGTAAAGTGCCCTAGACTGGCAATCAAATGTGGTGATTTACACCCATTGGCGAGGAATAGAGAACGTGGAAACATGGACATGACCCTAGTTGAAACCGCCAGCCTCGCCACCCGACCTGCAAAACTTGCACCTCTCGGAATTGAGCCCTGGATGGTAGGGCTCATAGCTGGTTTTTTGCCACTGCACCAGGGATCACTCGACCACACACTGGAAGAGATGTTGATGAAAGGTATGCAATGGATGTTGTTTGCAAATCTTAGACTCCAAGCGGTGCTGATCCAGCAACCTTGCCAGCGGCAGCGTGGAACGTCCCATTGAGCCAATGGCAATTTGCCATAGGGAAGTGGTGAGCATCCACCACGTTGCTTGCAAAAGTCGCGTCACACACGGGTTTGAACCTTCGGTGCACCGTCCCATGAGCGGCATCGCTACCACTGCACTATGGAGCCCTTCTTATCGACGGTGAAAGAGTTGTAGAGAAAAGGCAATAACCCACAAAAGTTGCAAAGATTTTGACATCTAGTAGTATCGATCCCGTGACCAACGTGGACCGCAGGCGCTACACCATTGACGAATCAATGCAAGTTGCTTCCCTTTCCCTTTTCAACTTACTGCTTTGACCCACACAGCCTGGCTGTTTGGAGATGGCCATCTCTAAAAAGTCCTCCGGAGGACTTTTTAGAGATGAAGTGGCAGCATGTTTGCGCCCTCCACCCGCGCGCACTATTTCCTTTTTCTCTGCCGCCATCGCTGTTAGTTTTTGGATGACCACCCTGCTAATCCTCTTACTAGCACGTGATGTCATCACCCCCCCACTTCCAAGTAAGTTCGAACTCACTTCGACCATTCGACGGGGAATCTTCGGAGGGGTTCCAGAGGTGCTCTACGCATATTTTAGGGTAACTTCGTTTGGAAGCCATCACCAAGTTACCACGAGCTCATGGTCACGTGGTAACTAGCAGTTGAGGCCACTTTACTACCGTCCCAGATGTAAGGCCGAAGTTACACATCATAGGCGCTGTGTTCGGCAGCAACGGTACAGTATGCTCTCAGCACCTTACAGTGTATAATTGCTTATGGTTAGCAGTTCTACCAAATGCTGGACATTGTCATTTCGGGACGGAATTCTGGCTTTCCATTCGAAACTCTGTTTACCACACTCTAAGCACAAGCACAATACGTGATTCCGTGCGCTTTGCATTTGAAAACCCATTCACGATGGACTCAGGGATCAGTACCTCCTTTTAACAGAGCTTGGCTAATCACAAAGGTTGAAAGCTTCTTACTTTCTGCCACAAAGTGAACGATACTGGAACTACGGCTTGCCTAGTACCTTGTCAATTTTGTTCCAGGGGGTTGGAGTTGTTGCTCAGAAATCAACGTGTGAGAGTGCCTGCGACTCACCTTTTCTCCACGCTCTCTCGTCCTTTTTTTCGCCCAAATGTCCACCGCTTGCCGGCCGCAAACTTTTCCCACTCCTAGGAGGGGCGCCCGTATTTTTAGTGTTTTGGTAGATTCGTCTCCTTTTCTTTACTGGCGCTTCACCTCGCAACTATGCTTCGTTTTTGAGCAAAAAACCAAATTTATGGGTGACATGCTTTCAAAAATTATACATCGTACTCTCCTTATTTGACACCCCAGTTGACCAAGCCAAAGTCCGTTGAAGGAGTGTTCATGCATGCATTGCCTCATATTACGCGGTCATTGATTGAAAGGATCTCCACGCTATCTCGTGGCTATCTAGAAAAGCATGTTGAGGCTGTAGCTCATGATAACACTCAACTTCTTCTGCCAGTTCATGCATATTCCGAGCGATCCTCTCCATCCAATTTCACGATGAACACCTGATCCACGTCAGCCAACCTCTACACCGTGGTCTGTCGCTGAAGCCGATTTTGCAGCGTTCAAACGGCAGCTGCCTATCGCCGTGTCCAGAAAAACCCGTGTCGCGCCATCTATTGCCTGAGTGACCGTGCTTTGTGGTTTCGTTTCAAGAACATTCACACATGTTCAGAGGCGAACACAGTTTATTTCTCAATGTGCTCGTAGTAGCGAAGTGGTCGCATGATCACCTATTGAGGAGAACACTAGACTTCGAAGCCCACGGCAGACGAACACGACGAGTTCCCAAGAACAGGTGAGGGAGAGTCATCAAGAATGACCTCACTGAAGTCTAAGCCACAGGTGAAGATGCCTTGGACAGGAAAAATAAACAACCCTTGAGTTATCTTGTGCGATTTACGCTAGGAAGAAGAAGAGCAGGGGCCGTAGCGGAGTGCCAGGGAACGCTTGGCACAAATGGCACCACATCATAGTACATTGTAGTCGTTCAAGTCACTCTGTGATATAACGTATGGTTAAGCTCGGAGAATTCGTGTGAGGGTTGAAATTTACATCTCAAGAAATTATCTATAGTAATAAATAGGTTACAGCATCAGCAAACAGTTAAAACAGGTTGTTGAAGGAAATAAAAGAGGTAACTTACATCCGTATTATGCAGTAACCTTCTTTCAGGAATACTTAATGGATTTAGACAGCCTTTGCATCTTACTGAAAGTAGCAATTATTGCAGAATTCCAAGAATGGCGTATCACGAAGTCAGCCAATACGAGTAGAATTGGAGCCCGACTACCCATCGGACTACGTACCGCCTCACTTGCGCATCAACCAAGGACATTCCAAAAATCAAAAGACAACAATGTTCTGAAGAGGTCCTAGTCAAGTTCATGACCCTAAACTAGAGATCTGAATGTAAATAAATGAGCAACTTTTATGTACTGTTGCTTGTCCTACCGCGTGGAAACATACTTCTCAATTGTTATGTGATTGGTTCCAAGCCTTTTATGTTTTCCATTTGAATTTAGTGTAATCACAAACTTGATAATTCTGTAATTCAAGGCGTATTTGTGCGATATCCATATGTCCTACATATAACCGGATTTTTTTAGATGCATTTCTCTTAAGAATGCTATACAAATGGTGATTATTGATCTGTCTTCATAGATTATTCGCATGCACGTTTTGCTTGGTTTTTTTTTGCAAATCTTACTTTACGATTTTGTATAACAAATTATGAAAAATATTTTCGCTTTCACTTTTATCCGTTCAGCTTTAGCTGTGCAATCTCGATCCAAGCCCTGGTTTCAGCGATCGTCCTTCTCCTACCTGCAGACTCAGTAGCTAACTTACTTATCAGGGACGGATAATGGGTCGAAGTGGCAATATGCAATGAGACCTACACTGATGGATGTGTAGTTGGACCCTGATTATCTGAGCGGTGCTATGAAGAAAAATAGAGCAGTGATAGTGGGTCGCGATGAGGGCGAGAAGTTGCAGGATCGATTCTCTGAGGGGTTCTCCCCTCTGTCTTCGCCGCAACATGGTTGCGAAAGACTCCCAACCAGGGTAAAGCGCAGGGTGAATATCGGTCGAGGAAATCCTCGACAGGGGGTCGTACCTGTCGGGCTGGGGGGTCGTACTCTTGGGGGTCAGTAACAGCAGTGGTATCGTGGTGCAGATAGGTAAGAGGGTATAGCGCAGCAGAAAATGAAAATATCTGAAAAAACATGATATTAAATTTTCTTTGCAGGTTCAGTCGCTCCATTCCTCCACCTTCATGAGAAGGGCGTATTTGAAGGCAGTACAAAGAATGAAAGTGCATCCCCGCAAAGAAGACTGCCACACAGGGTCAAGCGAGGCGTTGAGGAAAATTTTGAAATACGACCCCCCCCCCAGCCGCTGGAGTCGCAGAATTCCATATGCCCTACTTCTCTTCTCTAGGAAAAGTGTAAATGTGTACGTTGCATCGTAGCGTGTGGCAGTGCCTTTGCAGCGCGTGCGCGCAGTGCCACATGTGCGCACGCGCTGCAAAGGCACCTCCTCTGCCTATCGCTCGCTCCTTCTCCCTTAATACCTCGCTGAGAATGACACTGTTGTTAGGGACCCTGTCGCAAAAACGACAACCGTGAAGGAAAAGCCCTGGGCAAATGAAGTTGTTCTTTAGGTTGTAGGAGTTACGAAATGCGTTTACTACAATGCAGCTTCTGTCAACTGGTCATGATCATATGACACCTTCGAATCGATTCTGCAACTTCGAGTGAGGTCGGATGCATGGCCTATACCTCAGACAAAATTCGATGATGACGATTGCCCCTTTTCCTATTGCTTATGTTGGGAGGATGTTTTCTAGACCCATTTCAAGCGTTGCCAACAATTACACTTGCAATGGTGAAGGAGGGAGCGGATTTTCAGGTGGCCGGATCCGTCCTCGATACATACTCGACGCAGATATCTTCTCAACTAAAAATGTAGAAGAAAGCTAAGAAGACCATCAGAAAGCGCAAACCTTCCGCTTTCCAAAACTATCTTCCCTTTTTCAGGATCTTACAACATTAGAGAGATATTTGAAGTGGCAAAAACTCGCATGAAAATTTCAGCGTCCTCGACGTTTACTCGACGAAATTTGAGAGACCCTATCTTTCTGCATGGAAGGCTTTCAGAGCAATTTCAATACTTCTTGGAAACGCGAAATCCAGCTCTATCTAACCCTACCTCAAACTGCTTCAAAGGTTATGAAATGGAGGAATGCAACCTTTTCATCGAGGGTGTAGATTTCGACGGTTTTTTTTGGATTTCAGCAAATCTGACCCAGTGACAATCGCGCCGCAGCTGCCGTTGAATTGATACACTCGGCTGTTTGATATACTCAAGCAGGAATTAAGATTAAATCGCAACCCCGTGCCTTCAGGATTTCTGTGCATTTCTGAACGAACCTGACTTTGAGGTCACACAAAGTTAATGCCTCTTTCCTCGAGTCGATATTTCAGTAAATACACAAAAGTGTGCAGCGATGAAAGACAGTGCATAGATGACAAGATGAGGCGTCCATAACATTATTGATCTTGATTTCGGGGGGGGGGGGAAGGGTCGTACTTCTGCGACCACGTGCTACATGATTTCACCAGGGTCAAGCGTGCGTTGAGGAATCCTCGACATGTCACAGAGGGGGGGGGTCGTATTGGCCCGCTGGGGAAGAGATCGGGCCGATTGATACAGTAGGATCATCGTCGGAGGACAAACATCAAGGATCGAGTCGATGCCAGGCCAGAGTATTTCCAATAACAATTGATTCCGCCCACACAAAATCTTCGTGATTTAGAGGTGTCCGCTTAGCAATTCTTAGTTACTTCAGTGTTTTATCACCACACAAGTTAAAGAATCCGAAATTCGCACATTTCCAAGGGATATTTCATCTTCAACTGACAAGGAATGGTCAATTGGTCGGTCCGGCCGTTTGTAATGAGGTGTAGTCCGATGCACGCGTCTTGCGACGCTGAGCTCAAATCCGTTTTCGGTTTTTGCCGAACGATTCTCTGAACGAAGTTACGAGGGATTCTTCTCACTGTGGCTATCTCACTGTGGCGCCCTCTACATCCCGTACCCCACTCGGCTCGCATAAGAAGAGCCGGAGAGCAGCCATGGCAGCGAGCCTGGTGGTGTAGTGGATAGGGCTCTCGCTTCATATGGGTGAGGTCACATGTTCGGTCACGGTAGATCACAAATGGGAAGGTGATCATATTGGGTAATTAGACAAATTTGAAAATTTGAGTGAACAAATTCCTGTTCACCTACTCTTTATCGTCAGAAGTTTCTAGTTTGTCTTGACCTGTAAACTCATAAGCCTTCCGTGTGTTGAAGTTCATCATTTGAAAAAGAAACTTTTGAAAAGAGGCACGAACAGGAAATTCCAGAGTTTGCTTCATCCAAGTGTCAAGTGAGGATGCATGTCAACAAAATAAGCAATTACGAACGCTTTCTGGGTTCGTTTGAGTAGCCCTGGAAAAATGCAAAAGCTTATCATCACCAAGGATTCGAACATGTGACCTCACCCATATGAAGCGAGAGCCCTATCCACTACACCACCAGGCTCGCTGCCATGGCTGCTCTCCGGCTCTTCTTATGCGAGCCGAGTGGGGTACGGGATGTAGAGGCCGCCACAGTGAGATAGCCACGGTGAGAAGAATCCCTCGTAACTTCGTTCAGAGAATCGTTCGGCAAAAATCGAAAACGGATTCGAGCTCAGCGTCGCAAGACGCGTGCATCAGACTACACCTCATTACAAACGGCCGGACCGAGCAAATGACCATTCCTTGTTAGATCTTAAGTAATGGTGCTCGACCGTCGAGTTCTGGTTGAAAAACCAGGTCTGGAA